GCAAAATGTGCGCTTCGGCATAACATTGTACGCGCTATGAACAGTACAAGCAGAAAGGACGAGCTCGCAAAGGAACCCAAGATGGAAGCTTTGCGGTTCAACTTACTTGATTGCGCAGATTCAGTTCTATCCAACTCGAAATTGTACTGTTTTGTTTGGTTGACTATAGTGTAGCAGGGCAGGCACTATAGGGGTACAATTTAGGTGAAGGTTGGATGTTGTTTGTCTGTATCTGCATGCTACAGGGCCAGGGGAAACCAGCGGAACCAGCATTTGGCTGGTTGGGCAAAGACAAAACAAGTTCTGTTTTTAGGACCTGAACCTGGTTGTTGTTTTTCCCAGGTTGGAAAAACAGAACCAGAGGTTGTTCACCAACCTATCACCTGCTATTTTGTCCAGCCAGGTTGGTTCTGTTGCTTGGAATTATTTGGGATCATCCCTGGTTGTTCCCAGGTTGATTCCCAAGGTCCTTGCTAGCTAGAGCTATTTATTCCTTCTCTGTTTGTACCTGAATATAGTGAAATTGATTCAAGCGAATTCCTTCCTTGCTGGAATTTCTTTTCTACGCGGTGCGACGGCGGAATGCTACCCGAGTCAACGCTAGTACGCTAGCACTCCAACGCTAGGCTAACGCTGTCCGAGCCATAACTTCGTAATGGCAGAACTTTTCGCGAGGCAACTTGGCTTATTTTAAAGCTCTTAGAGTGAGCTTCGATATAGGAAATTCTCAGCTTAATCCGATCGACGGTCTGCACGATACGCTGCGCGACGTTCAAGGTACTCTTGCTGTTTTGACTAAGTCCCTCTTGATCCCTCTCTCTACAAACTCGGACCCGAGGATAGGGGCTGGTCTTGTACCAGGCACCCAAGGACCCTTGGAGGTGACCCCGAGGAGAGGTTTTAAGTGTGATAAAGTCTTAATAGCTTGAGTTTATTAGGCCCTTACACCAACAGCTTGGACGATGACGCCGCGAAAAGACCTGCTGGACCACGTACAAGCTGCACCGATCAACGAGGTGTGCTCTGCCTCTGGACACGCGCTGAAGGTGGCTGGTGCGGGACGAGCTGCGTTTAAGGGAGCGGATGGCAAGCCGGTGGTGCTGCACGACGTTCTCCTTGTTCCTGAACTCAAGGCCAACCTCATCTCCCTCCGTAAGCTTGGCAAGGCTGGGGTGAGCACTAGCACGGATGGGGCACGCACTTACAAGGGGCAGCTGGGCAATCGGGTGCTTTGGGATCTGCACGAGAGTACGGACGTGTACAGATCCATGTGGCAGCTGCCGGCATTGGCGTGGCACGGTGGGGGGCAGGCTGGAGAGGGGTCTGCATCCCAGGGGGAGTGCAATGCCGTTGGAGGGGTTGGTGTGAAAGTGTCGGCCAGATCTGGGGACACGGATTGGGCAACTGCACACCGACGTTTGGGGCATGTGGCAATGCCTTTGCTGAAGCAGCTGGAGAAGGATGGAGCCGTTAAGGGCTTGAAGCTGAACGGACAACCACCCGATGATAACTGTCAAATCTGTTTGCTCTCAAAGTTCACCCGTTTCCCTTTCCATAGTGTGGCTGGCAGGAGCAAAAAGCCGTTGGACCTGGTCCACATGGACTTGGTGGGGCCGCTGCCGGTGCAAGGTCACAAGGGGGAGCGGTACTTCCTAACCATAGTGGATGACGAGAGCAGGCTAATGTGGGCATATCCACTGAAGCAGAAAGATTACGCGGCCTCTACGATTCGGGACGATTGGCTGCCGTTAGTGGAGAAGCAAGCGGAGTGTGTGGTGAAGCGGATTAGGACAGATCGGGGTGGTGAGTTCCTTGGAGCTGAGATGACGGCCTGGCTCAAGAAGTAGGGCATCCAGAGGGAGCTGACCACGGCTTACACCCCACAGTCTAACGGTGTAGCAGAACGGGCAAACCGGACAATTCTGGAGACAGCTAGGGCGCTGCTCATAGAATCTGGGCTGGGCAACTCCATGTGGCCCCATGCTGTTCGGCACGCTACCGTCGCTAGGAACAGGGTACTCACCAAGGTTGGGGATGACTCGTGGGTGCCGTTGGAGAGGTGGCTTGGGAGGAAGCCGCCGGTGGACATGCTGAGGGTGTTCGGTTGCATGGCAGTCGCCCACATCCCCAAGACCTACTGCAGTAAGTTGGGGGCAAGTGCAATCTGGTGTGTGCATTTGGGGCTGGCTGCTGAGAGCAAGGGATGGCTGCTGTGGGAACCTTCCAAGGGTGTGTTGTTTGACAGCAGGGATGTGAAGTTTGTTGAGGGCATGATGTATGGGAGCTGGGAGAAACAGCCAGAGGCCAGGGTGTCCCAGCAGATGCAGCAGATCACCATGCAGCTGGACCTGACTCCTAGTGTGTGGGAGAAGGGAGAGGAGGTAGCTGCAGAGGGTGGTGATGGAGAGAAGGTGCAGGAGGCACCTGCTGGTGAAGGTGATGGTGTGGAGACTAGCGCTAGCACCAGTGGAGCTGCTGGATCCGAGGGAGGAGAGCAGCAGCAGGGAAAAACTAAGAAGCCGAAGGGTGTTGTTATGAGGGGATGGGAAACACCCGTCTCCAGGCCAGGACGTACCCGTATGGCCACTAAGAAGCTGACTGCAGGAGCTGATGTAGCGGAGCAGCAGCTTGGGACCGAGGAGGCATTGCTGATTCTACCGCATGGCTATGATCTGGATGAGGAGGATGAACCTGCCTACTGTTTTCTTGCCCCTGCACCAGAGGAACCAGCTAGCATGGAGGAGGCATTAGCTGGACCAGATAGGGAGAAGTGGCTGGTTTCCAGGGATGCTGAGTACAAGAGCCTGCTAGAGAATGGGACATGGGAGCTGGTGGTGCTGCCTGAGGGGAAGAAAGCCGTACAGTGCAAGTGGGTGCTAAGGAACAAGACCGATGACAAGGGACAGGTCACCATCTACAAGAGTAGGCTGGTGGCTAAGGGGTTTATGCAGAAGGAGAAGCGGGACTTCAATGAGATCTTTGCTCCCACTGCCAAACCCCCTACCCTCCGTGTCTTGTTGGCAGATGCAACCGTTAGTGGGAAATTCATCATTCAGATGGATATATCAACGGCGTTCCTCAATGGGATTTTAGAGGAGGAGATGTTCATGACGCAGCCACCTGGGTATGAGGATGGTACGGGCACGGTGTGCAAGCTGAAAAAGTCCATCTACGGCTTGAAGCAGGCGCCACGCTGCTGGTACCAGAATTTGGCAGCTGTTTTAGAGGAGGTGGGATTCAGGACCAGCAGCTGTGATGAGAGCCTCTTTCTCAAGGGGGAGGGGGAGAAGCTGGGGCTGTTTCTGGTCTATGTGGACGACATTCTTCTCTTTAGCAGCAGCATGAAGGAGATCCAGAAGGTGCAGCAGCAGCTGATGGAGAACTTCAAGTGCAAGAACCTTGGGGAGGTAGAGTACTACCTCGTGATGCACGTGGAGAGAGATATGGATCACAAGTGGTTGAAGCTGCACCAGGAGAAGTTCATCAAGGAGCTTGGGGAGAAGTACGGGATTGAGAATGAGCGCAAGGTTGCAACTCCCCTGCCAGCAGAATTCAAGCTTGTGAAAGCTGCAGTGGATGAAGGGGTTGAAGCCGAGGAGCAGCATCAATTTCAGTCCTTGGTGGGCAGCCTCTTGTATGCAGCAGTTCACACAAGGCCCGACATCTCTTTCTCGGTTGGGCAGCTGGCTAGGGTGGTGCAGAATCTGTTGGGTGCAAATTCACATTGCACGACATCCTGCCATCTGTTTGTATGAGTATGCGTGTGCGAATGCATTTGGGTGTGAATGGAATGTTGGTGTGTTTGTTTTGTTTCGCAATTTTCGCTTGAAGCATTTGCAGGTACTCGCGCATTATGCGCTTCGGCACAACATTGTACGCGCTATGAACAGTACAAACAGAAAGGACGAGCTCGCAAAGGAACCCAAGATTGAAGCTTTGCGGTTCGGTTGAATTGATTGTGCAGATTCAGTTTTATCCAACTCGAAATTGTACTGTTTTGTTTGGTTGACTATAGTGTAGCAGGGCAGGCACTATAGAGGTACAATTTAGGTGAAGGTTCGATGTTGTTTGTCTGTATCTGCATGCTATAGGGCCAGGGGAAACCAGCGGAACCAGCATTTGGCTGGTTGGGCAAAGACAAAACAGGTTCTGTTTTTAGGACCTGAACCTGGTTGTTGTTTTCCCAGGTTGGAAAAACAGAACCAGAGGTTGTTTACCAACCTACCACCTGCTGTTTTGTACAGCCAGGTTGGTTCTGTTGCCAGAACTTTTCGCGAGGTAACTTGGCTTATTTTAAAGCTCTTAGAGAGAGCTTCGATAAAGGGAATTCTCAGCTTAATCCGATCTACGGTCTGCACGATACGCTGCGCAACAACCAGGGATGATCCCAAATAATTCCAAGCAACAGAACCAACCTGGCTGGACAAAATAGCAGGTGGTAGGTTGGTGAACAACCTCTGGTTCTGTTTTTCCAACCTGGGAAAACAACAACCAGGTTCAGGTCCAAAAAACAGAACCTGTTTTGTCTTTGCCCAACCAGCCAAATGCTGGTTCCGCTGGTTTCCCCTGGCCCTGTAGCATGCAGATACAGACAAACAACATCCAACCTTCACCTAAATTGCACCCCTATAGTGCCTGCCCTGCTACACTATAGTCAAACAAACAAAACAGTACAATTTCGAGTTGGATAGAACTGAATCTGCGCAATCAAGTAAGTTGAACCACAAAGCTTCCATCTTGGGTTCCTTTGCGAGCTCGTCCTTTCTGCTTGTACTGTTCATAGCGCGTACAATGTTATGCCGAAGCGCACATTGTGCGAGTACCTGCAAATGCTTCAAGCGAAAATTGCGAAAGCAAACAAACACACGAACATACCTTTCACGCGCAAATGCATTCGCACACGCATACTCGTACAAACAGACGGCAGGATGTCGTGCAATGTGAATTTGCACCCAACACACTCCCCCTCAGCCTGCCGGCTGCATCCCCATCATTCCATACTAGTTCATGCTCATTCCACTCATGCGCACACAACGCCAATGAGGCTCATCCGCAAGCCTCTTGGTGAGGAAGTCTGCTGGCTGCTGGTGAGTCTTGATGTAGATCGGATTCACCGTCCCTCTCTTCACCTCCTTACGCAGCCAGTGCCACTTGATACGCATGTGCTTATTGAGCCCATGAAGCACAGCGTTCCTGGCCATCCCAAGAGCTCCCTTGCTATCACAAAACAGCGGTGTAGCAACCTTTTGCTCCTGGCCAATCTCCTCCAACAGCCTCCTCAGCCAAATCACCTCCTTCACCCCATGAAACATTGCCATGTACTCTGACTCCACGGACGAGAGTGCTGTCTCCGTCTGCTTCTTTGACCTCCAACTAACCGGTCCTCCCCCAACTACGCAGATGTATCCTCCCACAGATGAGGAATCCTCCTTCTCAGAGGCCCACGTAGCATCGGTAAAGCAAGTGAGAAAAAGCTTGCCTTCTCCAAGCCTCTCCCCTTTCTCTTTCAGCACCTCAACCCCTTTCTGCTTCACCTGTGCAGATGCGGAGTATTGAACTCCAATGCTTGGGTGAGAGTTTAGATACTTCACCACACGCTCAGCTGCATCCACCTGCTCCTCTGATGGATTCTGCACCACCCTAGCCAGCTGCCCAACCGAGAAAGAGATGTCGGGCCTCGTGTGAACTGCTGCATACAAGAGGCTGCCCACCAAGGACTGAAATTGCTGCTGCTCCTCGGCTTCAACCCCTTCATCCTCTGCAGCTTTCACAAGCTTGAATTCTGCTGGCAGGGGAGTTGCAACCTTGCGCTCATTCTCAATTCCGTACTTCTCCCCAAGCTCCTTGATGAACTTCTCCTGGTGCAGCTTCAACCACCTGTGATCCAGATCCCTCTCCACGTGCATCCCGAGGTAGTACTTTACCTCCCCAAGGTTCTTGCACTTGAAGTTCTCCATCAGCTGCTGCTGCACCTTCTGGATCTCCTTCATGCTGCTGCTAAAAAGAAGAATGTCGTCCACATAGACCAGAAACAGCACCAGCTTCTCCCCCTCCCCCTTGAGAAAGAGGCTCTCATCACAGCTGCTGGTCCTGAATCCCATCTCCTCTAAAACAGCTGCCAACTTCTGGTACCAGCAGCGTGGTGCCTGCTTCAAGCCGTAGATGGACTTTTTCAGCTTGCACACCGTGCCAGTACCATCCTCATACCCAGGTGGCTGCGTCATGTACACATCCTCCTCTAAAATCCCATTGAGGAATGCCGTTGATATATCCTTCTGAATGATGAATTTCCCACTAACGGTTGCATCTGCCAACAAGACACGGAGGGTAGGGGGTTTAGCTGTGGGAGCAAAGATCTCATTGAAGTCCCGCTTCTCCTTCTGCATAAACCCCTTAGCCACCAGCCTACTCTTGTAGATTGTGACCTGTCCCTTGTCATCGGTCTTGATCCTTAGCACCCACTTGCACTGTACGGCTTTCTTCCCCTCAGGCAGCACCACCAGCTCCCATGTCCCATTCTCTAGCAGGCTCTGGTACTCAGCATCCCTGGAAACCAGCCACTTCTCCCTATCTGGTCCAGCTAATGCCTCCTCCATGCTAGCTGGTTCCTCTGGTGCAGGGGCAAGAAAACAGTAGGCAGGTTCATCCTCCTCATCCGGATTATAGCCATGCGGTAGAATCAGCAATGCCTCCTCAGTCCCAAGCTGCTGCTCCGCTACATCAGCTCCTGCAGTCAGCTTCTTAGTAGCCATACGGGTACGTCCTGGCCTGGAGACCGGTGTCTCCCATCCCTTCATAACGACACCCTTCGGCTTCTTAGTTTTTCCCTGCTGCTGTTCTCCTCCCTCGGATCCAGTAGCTCCACTAGTGCTACCGCTAGTCTCCACACTATCACCTCCACCAGCAGGTGCCTCCTGCACCTTCTCTTTATCACCACCCTCTGCAGCTGCCTCCTCTCCCTCCTCCCACACACTAGGAGTCAGGTCCAGCTGCATGGTGATCTGCTCCATCTGCTGGGACACCCTGGCCTCCGGCTGTTTCTCCCAGCTCCCATACATCATGCCCTCAACAAACTTCACATCCCTGCTGTCAAACAACACACCCTTGGAAGGTTCCCACAGCAGCCATCCCTTGCTCTCAGAAGCCAGCCCCAAATGCACACACCAGATTGCACTCGCCCCCAACTTACTGCGGTAGGTCTTGGGGACTTGGGCGACTGCCATGCAACCGAACACCCTCAGCATGTCCACCGGCGGCTTCCTCCCAAGCCACCTCTCCAACGGCACCCACGAGTCATCCCCAACCTTTGTGAGTACCCTGTTCCTAGCGACGGTAGCGTGCCGAACAGCATGGGGCCACATCAAGTTTCCCAGCCCAGATTCTATGAGCAGGGCCCTAGCTCTCTCCAGAATTGTCCGGTAAGCCGTTGGACTGTGGAGTGTAAGCCGTGGTCAGCTCCCTCTGGATGCCCTGCTTCTTGAGCCAGGCCGTCATCTCAGCTCCAAGGAACTCACCACCCCGATCTGTCCTAATCCGCTTCACCACACACTCCGCTTGCTTCTCCACGAACGGCAGCCAATCGTCTCCAGCGGCTTGATCTTTCTGCTTCAGCGGATACGCCCACATTAGCCTGCTCCAGTCATCCACTATGGCTAGGAATTACCGCTCCCCCTTGTGCCCTTGCACCGGCAGCGGCCCCACCAAGTCCATGTGGACCAGCTCCAACGGCTTTTTGCTCCTGCCAGCCACACTATGGAACGGGAAACGGGTGAACTTTGAAAGGAGGCAAATTTCACAGTTATCATCAGGTGGTTGTCCGTTCAGCTTCAAGCCCTTAACGGCTCCATCCTTCTCCAGCTGCTTCAGCAAAGGCATTGCCACATGCCCCAAACGTCGGTGTGCAGTTGCCCAATCCGTCTCACCAGATCTGGCCGACACTTTCACACCAACCCCTCCAACGGCATTGCACTCCCCCTGGGATGCAGACCCCTCTCCAGCCTGCCCCCCACCATGCCACGCCAGCGCCGGCAGCTGCCACATAGATCTGTACACGTCCTTGCTCTCGTGCAGATCCCAAAGCACCCGATTGCCCAGCTTCCCCTTATAAGTGCGAGCCCCATCTGTGTTGGTGTTCAGCCCAGCCTTGCCAAGCTTACGTAGGGAGATAAGGTTGGCCTTCAGGTCGGGGACGAGGAGAACGTCGTGCAGCACCACCGGCTTGCCATCCGCTCCCTTAAACACAGTTTGTCCCGCACCAGCCACCTTCAACATGTGTCCAGAGGCAGAGCACACCTCGTTAATCGGTGCAGCGCGTACGTCGTCCAGCAGGTCCTTGCGCGGCGTCATTGTCCAAGCAGCACCCGTGTCCAACACCCAATAGTCCAGGGGGTGCAGCTCTGCTCCAACCTTAGCAGATGCGTCTCCTTGCTCCCCCTTGTCTCCAACATGGAAGAATTGGCCCGCGGTGCGCTCCTTCTTCTTCTCCGCACCGCCGTTGCCTTTCGGGTTGTTGTCGGACGAATCAGTGACCATGTTGGCGCCGTTTTTCTGGTTCCTCCGCGCGCCGCCATCCTGGTGACGATTCTGGGGGGTCCATCCATCGGGTTTCTTATAGCACAAAAACCAGGGGTGCCCTTCCTTCTCACAATACCAGCAACTCCCTTTCATTTTGCCACCAGCACCTGACTTGCCCCCACGTCCAGATTTCGCACCGCGACCCCAACCGGTACCTCCTTGTTGGTCGTTGGAGTCGTCGTCTTTCTTTGCACCGCGTCCAGCACCACCGAAGCCACGTCCTTTGGCACGTCGGCTCCCTTGCATCCCGTAGCCGCTGCTGCCGTCGTCTCCACCCCTCAGTTGGCGGCGACGGAAGTCCTCCTCCAGAATCTTCGTCCGCTCCCACTCGAGCGTCCACAAGCTCTGGTTCTGCGGCAGGCTCAATCCGCTCGTGAATTGAAGCCACGATTCCGGCAGCAGCGAGAGCATCTTCAGGCACTTGGTCTGCTCTGGGTAGGTGATTCCCGCGGTCGCCAACTTCGCGTAGAGGTCGCGCAATTTGTCCAGGACAGGTTGCACCGGCTCTCCCTCGCTCAGGCGCAACGCGGACAGCTCCCTCTTCAGCATCAATGTTGCAACAACGGAGATCGGGGCGTGCAGCTCCTTCAACACCGTCCACGCCTTCGGACCGCACTCAACCTCCGGCGGCAGGTGCATGACGTGGTGACGCTGGTTCAGCTCCAAACTCTGCGACATCAAGTAGTAGCCAGCCGAGGCACGCTCGTCCCAATCTTCCTAAAGGGCGGGGTCACTCGGTCTAGGCTCCTCCCCAATCATTAGTTTCAGCAAACCGATCTGACGGAAATAAAGTTGCATTTTCCAGGCCCAATCATCATAACCCTCACCATTGAACTTCTCGACGGTGAAGTTTTTCAGCACCTCCTTGATCAACGAGCCCTGGCTTGTTCGCGCTCCCCTTGGCGCAGAAACACCAGAATCTTGGCTGCTGCTACGATCTTGGGCTGAAGATTCACCAGCTACCGCCGAGGTGTTGCCCGCCATAGCTACCTATAACGAGGATCACTATAACGCAGCTCTGATACCAGCTTGTTGGTGGAAGGGCCTAATAAACTCAAGCTATTAAGACTTTATCAAACTTAAAACCTCTCCTCGGGGTCACCTCCAAGGGTCCTCGGGTGCCTGGTACAAGACCAGCCCCTATCCTCGGGTCCGAGTTTGTAGAGAGAGGGATCAAGAGGGACTTAGGCAAGACAGCAAGGGTACCTCAAACGTTGCGCAGCGTATCGTGCAGACCGTAGATCGGATTAAGCTGAGAATTCCCTATATCGAAGCTCTCTCTAAGAGCTTTAAAATAAGCCAAGTTGCCTCGCGAAAAGTTCTGCCATTACGAAGTTATGGCTCGGACAGCGTTAGCCTAGCGTTGGAGTGCTAGCATACTAGCGTTGACTCGGGTAGCATTCCGCCGTCGCACCGCGTAGAAAGGAAATTCCAGCAAGGAAGGAATTTGCTTGAATCAATTTTACTATATTCAGGTACAAACAGAGAAGGAATAAATAGCTCTAGCTAGCAAGGACCTTGGGAATCAACCTGGGAACAACCAGGGATGATCCCAAATAATTCCAAGCAACAGAACCAACCTGGCTGGACAAAATAGCAGGTGGTAGGTTGGTGAACAACCTCTGGTTCTGTTTTTCCAACCTGGGAAAACAACAACCAGGTTCAGGTCCTAAAAACAGAACCTGTTTTGTCTTTGCCCAACCAGCCAAATGCTGGTTCCGCTGGTTTCCCCTGGCCCTGTAGCATGCAGATACAGACAAACAACATCCAACCTTCACCTAAATTGTACCCCTATAGTGCCTGCCCTGCTACACTATAGTCAACCAAATAAAACAGTACAACTTCGAGTTGGATAGAACTGAATCTGCGCAATCAAGTAAGTTGAACCGCAAAGCTTCCATCTTGGGTTCTTTTGCGAGCTCGTCCGTTCTGCTTGTACTTTTCATAGCGCGTACAATGTTATGCCGAAGCGCACATTGTGCGAGTACCTGCAAATGCTTCAAGCGAAAATTGCGAAAGCAAACAAACACACGAACATACCATTCACGCCCAAATGCATTCGCACACGCATACTCGTACAAACAGACGGCAGGATGTCGTGCAATGTGAATTTGCACCGAACATCAACGCTAGAATGCTAGCACTCCAACGCTAGGCTAACGCTGTCCGAGCCATAACTTCGTAATGGCAGAACTTTTCGCGAGGCAACTTGGCTTATTTTAAAGCTCTTAAAGTGAGCTTCGATATAGGAAATTATCAGCTTAATCCGATCGACGGTCTGCACGATACGCTGCGCGACGTTCAAGGTACTCGTGCTGTTTTGACTAAGTCCCTCTTGATCCCTCTCTCTACAAACTCGGACCTGAGGATAGGGGCTGGTTTTGTACCAGGCACCCAAGGACCCTTGGAGGTGACCCCGAGGAGAGGTTTTAAGTTTGATAAAGTCTTAATAGCTTGAGTTTATTAGGCCCTTACACCAACAAGCTGGTATCAGAGCTGCATTATAGTGATCCTTGATATAGGTAGCTATGGCGGGCAACACCTCGACGGGAGCTGGTGAATCTTCAGCCCAAGATCGTAGCGGCAGCCATGATTCTGGTGTTTCAGCGCCAAGGGGAGCGCGAACAAACCAGGGCTTGCTGATCAAGGAGGTGCTGAAGAATTACACCGTCGATAAGTTCAATGGTGAGGGCTATGATGATTGGGCCTGGAAAATGCAGCTATATTTCCGTCTGATTGGATTGCTGAAACTAATGATTGGGGAGGAGCCTAGACCGAGTAACCCTGCCCTTCAGGAAGATTGGGACGAGCGCGCCTTGGCTGGCTACTATTTGATGTCGCAGAGTTTGGAGCTGAACCAGCGTCACCACGTCATGCACCTGCTGCCGGAGGTTGAGTGCGGTCCGGAGGCATGGACCGTGTTGAAGGAGCTGCACGCCCCGACCTCTGTTGTTGCAACGTTGATGCTGGAGAGGGAGCTGTCCGCGTTGCGCCTGAGCGAGGGAGAGCCGGTGCAACCTGTCCTGGACAAATTGCGCGACCTCTACGCGAAGTTGGCGACCGCGGGAATCACCTACTCGGAGCAGACCAAGTGTCTGAAGATGCTCTCGCTACTGCCGGAATCGTGGCTTCAATTCACGAGCGGATTGAGCCTGCCGCAGAACCAGAGCTCGTGGAGACTCGAGTGGGTGCGGACAAAGATTCTAGAGGAGGACTTCCGTCGCCGCCAACTGAGGGGTGGAGACGACGGCAGCAGCGGCTATGGGATGCAAGGAAGCCGACGTGGCATAGGACGTGGCTTCGGTGGTGCTGGACGCGGTGCAAAGAAGGACGATGACTCCAACAACCAACAAGGAGGTACCGGTTGGGGTCGCGGTGCGAAATCTGGACGTGGGGGCAAGTCGGGTGCTGGTGGCAAAACGAAAGGGAGTTTCTGGTATTGTGAGAAGGAGGGGCACCCCTGGTTTTTGTGCTATAAGAAACCCGATGGATGGACCCCCCAGAATCGTCACCAGGATGGCGGCGCGCGGAGGAACCAGAAAAACGGCGCGAGCATAGTCGCCGATTCGTCCGACAACAACCCGAAGAGCAACGGCAGTGCGGAAAAGAAGAAGGAGCGCACCGCGGGCCAGTTCTTCCATATTCGAGAACAGGGGGAGCAGGGGGAGCAAGAGAACGCCTCTGCCAAGGTTGGAGCAGAGCTGCACCCCCTGGATTATTGGGTGTTGGACATAGGCGCTGCTTGGACGATGACCTGCTGGACCACGTACGCGCTGCACCGATCAACGAGGTGTGCTCCGCCTCTGGAAACGCGCTGAAGGTGGCTGGTGCGGGACGAGCTGCGTTTAAGGAAGCAGATGGCAAGCCGGTGGTGCTGCACGACGTTCTTCTCGTTCCTGAACTCAATGTTGGGTGCAAATTCACATTGCACGACATCCTACCGTCTGTTTGTATAAGTATGCGTGTGCGAATGCATTTGGGTGTGAATGGAATGTTGGTGTGTCTGTTTGCTTTCGCAATTTTCGCTTGAAGCATTTGCAGGTACTCGCGCATTATGCGCTTCGGCACAACATTGTACGCGCTATGAACAGTACAAGCAGAAAGGACGAGCTCGCAAAGGAACCCAAGATGGAAGCTTTGCGGTTTGGTTGAATTGATTGTGCAGATTCAGTTCTATCCAACTCGAAATTGTACTGTTTTGTTTGGTTGACTATAGTGTAGCAGGGCAGGCACTATAGAGGTACAATTTAGGTGAAGGTTGGATGTTGTTTGTCTGTATCCGAATGCGACAGGGCCAGGGGAAACCAGCGGAACCAGCATTTGGCTGGTTGGGCAAAGACAAAACAGGTTCTGTTTTTAGGACCTGAACCTGGTTGTTGTTTTCCCAGGTTGGAAAAACAGAACCAGAGGTTGTTTACCAACCTACCACCTGCTGTTTTGTCCAGCCAGGTTGGTTCTGTTGCTTGGAATTATTTGGGATCATCCCTGGTTCTTCCCAGGTTGATTCCCAAGGTCGTTGCTAGCTAGAGCCATTTATTCCTACTCTGTTTGTACCTGGATATAGTGAAATTGATTCAAGCGAATTCCTTCCTTGCTGGAATTTCCTTTCTACGCGGTGCGACGGCGAAATGCTACCCGAGTTAACGCTAGTATGCTAGCACTCCAACGCTAGGCTAACGCTGTCCGAGCCATAACTTCGTAATGGCAGAACTTTTCGCGAGGCAACTTGGCTTATTTTAAAGCTCTTAGAGTGAGCTTCGATATAGGAAATTCTCAGCTTAATCCGATCGACGGTCTGCACGATACCCTGCGCGACGTTCAAGGTACTCTTGCTGTTTTGACTAACTCCCTCTTGATCCCTCTCTCTACAAACTCGGACCTGAGGATAGGGGCTGGTGTTGTACCAGGCACCCAAGGACCCTTGGAGGTGACCCCGAGGAGAGGTTTGAAGTTTGATAAAGTCTTAATAGCTTGAGTTTATTAGGCCCTTACACCAACATTCAAGGCCAACCTGATCTCCCTCCGCAAGCTTGGCAAGGCTGGGGTGAGCACTAGCACAGATGGGGCACGCACTTACAAGGGGCAGCAGGGCAATCAGGTGCTTTGGGATCTGCACGAGAGCGCGGACATGTATAGATCCATGTGGCAGCTGCCGGCGTTGGCGTGGCATAGTGGGGGGCAGGCTGGAGAGGCGTCTGCATCCCAGGGGGAGTGCAATGCCGTTGGAGGGGTTGGTGTGAAAGTGTCGGCCAGATCTGGGGAGACGGATTGGGCAACGGCACACCGACGCTTGGGGCATGTGGCAATGCTCTTGTTGAAGTAGTTGGAGAAAGATGGAGCCGTTAAGGGCCAGAAGCTGAACGGACTGCCACTTGATGAGAATTGTGAAATCTGTTTCTCTCAGAGTTTACCCGTTTCCCCTTCCATAGTGTGGCTGGCAGGAGCAAGAAGCCGTAAGAGCTGGTCCTCATGGACTTGGTGGGGCCGCTGCCGGTTCAAGGTCACAAGGGGGAGCGGTACTTTCTGACCATAATGGATGATTGGAGCAGGCTTATGTGGGCATATCCGTTGAAGCAGAACGACCATGCCGCCTCTACGATACGGGAAGATTGGCTGCCATTCGTGGAGAAGCAAGCAGAGTGTGTGGTGAAGCGGATTAGGACAGATCGGGGTGGTGAGTTTCTTGGAGCTGAGATGACGGCCTGGCTCAAGAAGCAGGGCATCCTGAGGGAGCTGACCACGGCTTACACCCCACAGTCTAACGGTGTAGCAGAACGGGCGAACCGGACAATTCTGGAGACAGCTAGGGCGCTGCTCATAGAATCTGGGCTGGGCAACTCCATGTGGCCCCATGCTTTTCGGCACGCTACCGTCGCTAGGAACTGTTGGGTGCAAATTCACATTGCACGACATCCTGCCGTCTGTTTGTACGAGTATGCGTGTATAAATGCATTTGCGTGTGAATAGTATGTTCGTGTGTTTGTTTGCTTTCGCAATTTTCGCTTGAAGCATTTCCAGGTACTCGCGCGTTATGCGCTTCGGCACAACATTGTACACGCTATGAACAGTACAAGCAGAAAGGACGAGCTCGCAAAGGAACCCAAGATGGAAGCTTTGTGGTTCGGCTTACTTGATTGCGCAGATTCAGTTCCATCCAACTCGAAATTGTACTGTTTTGTTTGGTTGACTATAGTGTAGCAGGGCAGGCACTGTAGGGGTACAATTTAGGTGAAGGTTGGATGTTGTTTGTCTGTATCTGCATGCTACAGGGCCAGGGGAAACCAGCGGAACCAGCATTTGGCTGGTTGGGCAAAGACAAAACAGGTTCTGTTTTTAGGACCTGAACCTGGTTGTTGTTTTCCCAGGTTGGAAAAACAGAACCAGAGGTTGTTTACCAACCTACCACCTGCTATTTTCTCCAGCCAGGTTGGTTCTGTTGCTTGGAATTATTTGGGATCATCCCTGGTTGTTCCCAGGTTGATTCCCAAGGTCCTTGCTAGCTAGAGCTATTTATTCCTTCTCTGTTTGTACCTGAATATAGTGAAATTGATTCAAGCGAATTTCTTCCTTGCTGGAATTTCTTTTCTGTTGGTGTAAGGGCCTAATAAACTCAAGCTATTAAGACTTTATCACACTTAAAACCTCTCCTCGGGGTCACCTCCAAGGGTCCTTGGGTGCCTGGTACAAGACCAGCCCCTATCCTCGGGTCCGAGTTTGTAGAGAGAGGGATCAAGAGGGACTTAGTCAAAACAGCAAGAGTGTTGGTGTAAGGGCCTAATAAACTCAAGCTATTAAGACTTTATCACACTTAAAACCTCTCCTCGGGGTCACCTCCAAGGGTCCTTGGGTGCCTGGTACAAGACCAGCCCCTATCCTCGGGTCCGAGTTTGTAGAGAGAGGGATCAAGAGGGACTTAGTCAAAACAGCAAGAGTACCTTGAACGTCGCGCAGCGTATCGTGCAGACCGTCGATCGGATTAAGCTGAGAATTTCCTATATCGAAGCTCACTCTAAGAGCTTTAAAATAAGCCAAGTTGCCTCGCGAAAAGTTCTGCCATTACGAAGTTATGGCTCGGACAGCGTTAGCCTAGCGTTGGAGTGCTAGCGTACTAGCGTTGACTCGGGTAGCGTTCCGCCATCGCACCGCGTAGAAAAGAAATTCCAGCAAGGAAGGAATTCGCTTGAATCAATTTCACTATATTCAGGTACAAACAGAGAAGGAATAAATAGCTCTAGCTAGCAAGGACCTTGGGAATCAACCTGGGAACAACCAGGGATGATCCCAAATAATTCCAAGCAACAGAACCAACCTGGCTGAACAAAATAGCAGGTGATAGGTTGGTGAACAACCTCTGGTTCTGTTTTTCCAACCTGGGAAAACAACAACCAGGTTCAGGTCCTAAAAACAGAACCTGTTTTGTCTTTGCCCAACCAGCCAAATGCTGGTTCCGCTGGTTTCCCCTGGCCCTGTAGCATGCAGATACAGACAAACAACATCCAACCTTCACCTAAATTGTACCCCTATAGTGCCTGCCCTGCTACACTATAGTCAACCAAACAAAACAGTACAATTTCGAGTTGGATAGAACTGAATCTGCGCAATCAAGTAAGCCGAACCGCAAAGCTTCCATCTTGGGTTCCTTTGCGAGCTCGTCCTTTCTGCTTGTACTGTTCATAGCGCGTACAATGTTATGCCGAAGCGCACATTTTGCGAGTACCTGCAAATGCTTCAAGCGAAAATTGCGAAAGCAAACAAACACACAAACATACCATTCACACGCAAATGCATTCGCACACGCATACTCGTACAAACAGACGGCAGGATGTCGTGCAATGTGAATTTGCACCCAACACACTCCCCCTCAGCCTGCCGGCTGCATCCCCATCATTCCATACTAGTTCATGCTCATTCCACTCATGCGCACACAACGCCAATGAGACTCATCCGCAAGCCTCTTGGTGAGGAAGTCTGCTGGCTGCTGGTGAGTCTTGATGTAGATCGGATTCACCGTCCCCCTCTTCACCTCCTTACGCAGCCAGTGCCACTTGATACGCATGTGCTTATTGAGCCCATGAAGCACAGCGTTCCTGGCCATCCCAAGAGCTCCCTTGCTATCACAAAACAACGGCGTAGCAACCTTTTGCTCCTGGCCAATCTCCTCCAACAGCCTCCTCAGCCAAATCACCTCCTTCACCCCATGGAACATCGCCATGTACTCTGATTCCACGGAAGAGAGTGCTGTCTCCGTCTGCTTCTTTGACCTCCAACTAACCGGTCCTCTCCCAACTACGCAGATGTATCCTCCCACAGATGAGGAATCCTCCTTCTCAGAGGCCCACGTAGCATCAGTAAAGCAAGTAAGAAAAAGCTTGCCTTCTCCAAGCCTCTCCCCCTTCTCTTTCAGCACCTCAACCCCTTTCTGCTTCACCTGTGCAGATGCGGAGTATTGAACTCCAATGCTTGGGTGAGAGTTCAGATACTTCACCACACGCTCAGCTGCATCCACCTGCTCCTCTGATGGATTCTGCACTACCCTAGCCAGCTGCCCAACCGAGAAAGAGATGTCGGGTCTCGTGTGAACTGCTGCATACAAGAGGCTGCCCACCAAGGACTGAAATTGCTGCTGCTCCTCGGCTTCAACCCCTTCATCCTCTGCAGCTTTCACAAGCTTGAATTCTGCTGGCAGGGGAGTTGCAACCTTGCGCTCATTCTCAATTCCGTACTTCTCCCCAAGCTCCTTGATGAACTTCTCCTGGTGCAGCTTCAACCACCTGTGATCCAGATCCCTCTCCACGTGCATCCCGAGGTAGTACTTTAC